TGGTGCCAACTTGGGCCAGTGAAGCAACGTCCTCCACAACTAGACTGAAGAACAAAACGACAGCAACTTGTCTGTCCCCCTTCCCCCAATTCCCCAGCACTGTTCCCATCCCCCCAACTCACCAATAAAAATCTTTAAAAAAAAATGGGCCGGCCAAGTGGAGTGTTGGTTAAGAGTTGGCTTGGAATGCCAGCTCTGAGCAGCAGGGCCCCAGTTCGGATCCCACATGAAGGCCAGTGACACTGCGCCTCTACAGCTAAGATGCTGAAGAACAGCTCGACCTGGAGCTGGGCTGCCATGAGGCGACAGCGTAGGCTGCACTGGAGCTGCAATGGGCTCCCGTAAGCTACCGTGAGTGGCTGTCCAGGGGCCGATGACCGATCTGCCTCACCCAGGAAGAGCGCAATGATAATACCAACATGGGCCAGTGAAGCAACCAACGTCCTCCACAACTAGACTGAAGAACAAAAAAGGACAGCAGCTTGTCTGTTCCCCTTCCCCAATTCCCCAGCGCTATTACCCTCCCCCAATTCCCCAATAAAATCTTTTTAAAAAAAAAAGTTATTCTTAAATGACCACCTCCTGAACTATTTTTACAGATGGTTTCACATTTTTCCCACTCAGGAAAATATTCACAGTAATATCCAGATTCTTTTCATGAAAATAGCAAAGCATTTTCTGTACACTAACAAAAATCACACCCTCCCCTCCCCCAAAGCTCTTCTTTAATTACAGTATCAGGAATCTGGTGTCTACTGACCCAAAATGACCTCTGGAGCTCTGTAATGTCGTGTCGATACCAATGTACTATGATGCTCATCATCGTATGTTGCACTTCCAAAGTCCACAACTTTGATATCTGTGTTTTTCAGTGTGCGTTCATCACGTTTCTAGAGAGATACAGTTGAGTAAGATGAAGATCAATAAAGATATATTTTACAGCACTATCCAAAAGGCTTCACATGAAATATCTTTTTGAGTCAATATAACCCATGAGAAAGGCAAAGAAAGGTTACATTAAACATCAGGATATAATGAGCCTCAGAAACGAAATTCCTCACCAAGGATCACCAAGCTAAATTAATTTTACAGAAAACCACCAAAAGTAAAACAAGTCTTTCTTTCACTTACCATTTTAGAATTATATTTGACTACATAGTCAGACTTCACAAATAAAATATTTTCAGGCTTCAGGTCTGTATGGGTTAATTTATTATGATGCAAAACTGTAAGAGAACAAAAATACATTAGTTTCACTTGCAAATTTAATATGTACTGGGGGGAGGAAGAATTAGTAGTGGATATAGGGGTGATCTTTAACTATAATATGTATTTTTAGTGGCAATGTTTTGATATGTTGTTTGTATAACAAAAACTTCAATTTTCTGATGTTAAAGATTTCAAGTATACTTACAATTTATTGACTGGCAGATCTGATATGCCATCTGCCTGATATGGTCAATTTGAAATGGTAGAAAGCTGTTTTCTTTAATGAAATCATAGGTACTAAGTCCCAGAAGTTCAAACACAATACAAACATGACCATGATGATCAAACCATTCGAGCATCTGGACACATCGGCTAAAATAGATCAAAATAAAAATAATTCAGTTCACAGAATTCTGATCACTTCCTGTAACACAATAGATCTTAGTTCAAGTTTATACTTACAAGATGCTATTGGGATCAGTAGTATTTAAATGCTCTAATACTTGGATTTCTGAACGAGCTGCTTCACGGTATCGACCTACATTTTTTACGATTTTCACTGCTACATGCATGCCATCCCTCAAAAACAAAATTAAGATGAAAGTGGTAAATGTACAGGAGCAGGATGAAGACATATCTTCTAAAGCATAACCTTATTAAGTATCAATTACTCTGTGCTATTTTTTTAAATAATTTTTTAGGGCATACTATACCAGATTCCATATAACATCTTTTCAAAACATTTTGACAATATCAACTTTATGTGGAGTGATGATTCCCTTAATACTTAGGAATTTTAATGTTTGGTTCCAGAATTTTAAATTTACCTACATTTTAAACAAAAGTTAAAAAAATAAAAATATAAATCTCAAATAGAGTATGCTATTGCTAAAAGCATTTGCTCATTTGCCACTCTGTGCCAGACAGTGCGTAGGTATTAATGATGAAGACTGGGCTTGTCCCTATGTGCCACACAGTCCAATGGAAAAAGACATGGGGACGACTTGTCAGAAGGTCAGAAGTGCTTGGTATGAGGTACTACAGTAAAGGAGGGAGAGCCAAACCATTGGGAGTTAAACGAGTTCAGACATCTTCAGAGAACAGGTGACACACACTGAGCCCTGAAAGATAGCTATCAGTTTGTCAGATCTGGGAGGAAAGGGGAACATTCAGGTGAAAGAGACACCATCAATAAGTCATGAGGTCAAGAAAACACTTAGCACATTCACTGATGCAAACAGGTAGAAACAGCTCCAGTGGAGTGCAGTGATCTTCAGGTTGGGGCATCTGTAATATTTCCTAAGTACAGCACAGTGTGAGGAAATGGGTTTCCAAATCTTCAGCTTCCTTTTGCCCTCTTTTCTAAATCTGATCATTTGGAAGAGGAGCCAGCACTCAAGCCTCTTTTTTTCACTGTGGCCCTACCACTTTACAAAAGAAAGAAAACCTCCACATGCCACTAATTGGCACATCAAGATATGTACCCTATAAAAAAATCTGAGGCAGACAAATCTTTCTAGTGGCTGGGTAGGAAACCTTTTTACAAGTCTGGTGGCTTCCAATTCATTGCTTTCAACAAAGCCCCAATGAGGTTGTGGGCTGACAAATCATTAAAAATTATTTTGATGATAATATCCCTATAAACTTTGGCATGTCCCAAGACTTCACAGAACTGTTATAAAATTGCTGTGACAAAATTCCTTCTAGTCTTATCTATTCAATTATATGACCAAGTTTTCTGTGCTAGCTATAAAAACAGAAAATGAAAAGGCTTTATGCTAAAACACTAAGATATATTTATCTATGGATACATGTATGCATTTTTTAAAAACCCCAACCATCCCAATACAGGATGCATTTCCAATTAAATTTTATGTTTTAGGTCTGAGTATCCAAATTTGTAACTGATCTATACTTGATCAACTGAATACTATTAATTGGTATATCTCAATTAAATACTCAAGAGTCTTGAAATTTCAAGAAAATTTAAAAGGACATTAATGAGACAACTTTTTAAAATCTGAGTAAGATCTGTAGATTAGGTAACAAATTTTGAAAATATAACAATGTAATGTATAAAGAATGATAAAAGAAATACTGTAAAATGTTAACATTTGGGGATTCTGGAAGAAGCATGTATGGGAATTCTTCAAACTATTTTATCAACTTTTCTGTAAGTCTGAAAATACTTGAAAATATTTTAAAATTTCAGTTTACGTTCATATTTTTGTTTCAGAAAATACAGTGATAATAAAAGAGTAATAATCTTTATGTAAAGTGGAAGGAAAATAAATTCAAGGATAAAACAATTCCAGGTACTCAAGTAGAGTTTGTTTATGGATAACGGTAGGTATCAAGTTGCTATAGCATTTAGATTCCCTCAAAGACATTTAAAGAGAAGTTGGTTTTTTGTTTTTTTTAAAATATTGTTTACAATGAGCTGCAAATTATATCCCTCCCAACTATTTTATCATGAAAAATTTTAGGTGTTGATTTAGAAACACAAAGTTTCACTAAATTGTCTTAAGAGGTTCCCTTACAAAAAAGTTTGCAAACCACAGAAACACAAGGTCCTGGAGGAAAATGTTAACTTGAGGCAGACAGGGTCAAATCACAAAGGGTTTAACTCATTCCACAGGTTTTAAATAATATAATTCCTTTATAGTTTAAGAGGCTAACTCTAATATGCAAATATTATCCTTTGGGAATAAAGGTTTTTTGAACCAAGATTAGACGTGTATTATCTCTGCGATTCAAAAGTAAAGCACTCCGAATCTTGTACAGGCTAAGGGCCTAAGTTCTGGGAAACTCTTCACCTAAACTTTAATTTCAATGAACACCATCTGATAGAATTTGTCAGCATTCTTGATCAAAATCCACACTCATGGTAAATAAATCATGTACACAGTTCAGGAAAACAGGTAACTACCACTTAAAATACCATTTCATCATTATGGATCCTTTCTTACCAAAAATATCAGAATGTTCAAAAATGAAAAAACAAACTTACATGCCATGATCAATGCACTCTACAACTTTGCCAAAAGCCCCTTCACCCAAAGTGTCCACGATTTCATCTAAAGTGAGGGGGGAGAAAGGTGTGTAATTACCTGAGCACAAATTATCTAGTTATTCAAACAAAGTGTGGAATATTTTCAAATGATCTCTATCAAAGCATAACTAAGGTTTCAGCACTCAAATTATTTTATTTTCAGCTGCTACAAAGACAGTTAGATAGAGCTATCTTTCTTGCTCTAATCTCAAATTCCACTAGTAATTTTGGAACTTTAGAGTAGAAATATTTAAATTCTACAGAAAAAAAGAAATACAAAAAAACAACAAACCCACAAAAAACAAACAAAACAAAAAAGCAATGAAGAATTCTTTAGCCCCCCGCTGACAAAACTATTCTTTCAAAGATTACTCTGTCTGCAAAGTTTAAAAAGTGTTGAAAAATATTCTATACATCTTGCTCTTAGAACGTCTCCACTTTGACAGATCAGGTGACCCTCCTCATCATCCTCTATACTCCTGGATCTTTTCCTTCGGTGGCTCTTCTGGAACGGCAAGTGGGCAGCACCAAGATCGTCCAGCCAATCAATATATCAGAGTGAATTCAGGGCAGAATACGCAATTCATTCAGCGGGGAGATATTCAGGCATTCAGATAAGCACCAGGCCACGAACAGTTGGCAGGAGCAATTTCAAATTCAGTCCCCAGAAATTCACAGGGCACAGTTTATGTTACAGAAGAAAAACATGGCAAGGAACAGATTTTCAGATAAGATACTTAAAGTGGCAATAGAAAAAAACAACACAATTGTCTCTTTAAAATACTGATTTAATTGAAGTCTGAAATTTAAAGAATGCAATGTCATGATTTATTTAATCTCTTGCTATAAAACAGCATATGCTGTGAGTTGTCTAGTTTGTCAGAAAAATGTCCTAGATTATTTGAAATTGTTTATTTAGCAATTTGAAAAATATACATGATTAAAATATAAGGGAAAAATAATGGCTAGTTAAGTTAAATGTTCAATGTAATCAAAGCTAGTTTTACTGAAGAAAATCTGGGGAGGAAAACAATAATTCAAAGTTTACTGATCAAACAGGTCTGAGTATTGAAAAAAAAGGCAGATTTTTTAAAAAATACATTTCCCATTCAGCACCCATTTTCAGAACTTCAGTGGAACTAGCTGCAGACAATACACTGTGCTATGAGACTATGCTATATATACAGGGTATTTAAGTATCCACCAGTGCAACTTTCTGTTTGTTTCTAAGTATCAGGAAACGGGTTTCTTTCACAGTAAAAGAAAAATTTAAAAAGTTTAAAATTAAAGAAAAGATGGGTGCTTCATCTTTTCCTAAGATTGTATTACAAAACATAAAAATAGAACATTTTTAATATTAAAATCAAGAAACTCATGATGTGGTCTGCAGAAAATGAGTAAATGTGGGCAAATGAGGGCTAGCTAATAAAAACAGATTAGCTATGAGAATTTGGAAGTTTCCTATAAGGATTCAAGTAACACAATATACACAAATAGTATAATATATATGTTTGTGTGTGTGTGTGTGTATATATATATATATATATATATATACATACATATATATACATATATACACACACACACACACACACATAAATTTTCCAAACTTATCGGCTCATTAAGAGCTTTACATACAAATAAGTATCCACCCAAAATAAAAACAAAATGAATCATACCGAATGGGACTGGTGACTTGAACAGTGTCGATTACGCTTCCTTTTAGGACTGCTTCTCCTGCTTTGGACTGAAGATTTACTGCAGTGGATTCGGTAATGGCTTTCAACGTCTTTGTGATAATGTCTAGGAATGTATCTTTCGCAGTAATCATTTCTGTATTCATCAACGTATCTCCGGTCCCGATAATCTCTCTCATTCAAAGACCTTGCTTCTAAATAATGACTGCAAACACATTAAAAGATTTAAAATTATTCTCTTCATCCTTAGAATAACGTGGTTCAAACAAATTATTCTCTCAAGAATTCCTGGCTAAACAGCTAATACAATAAAAGAAAAAAATTTACATTGATGAATTAGAATTTATACTTATCATAAAACTTTAGAATTTTACTTTAACCAATAAGCAAATAGGTTAGTATTATACAGACTGCTATCAAGCACCTCACATCAAGGAACAAAGCTTGAGCCAAATCATTCAATTACGTTCAGTGTTTACTTAAGTGGCCCTTGGCCTTCTGGAGAAAATTAAAACAAAAAATTCACAAAACTGCTCTTCTGAAAATCATCAGTCTTATGATATATGCATCCGCAACTAATATTTCTTTACTCACAGAGCCACACACAATTAGTGGCAGGCAAAACAGAATTCCTTTCTCTTTCAATGAAAGTGAATTTTAGATATCCCTGGCACACAGAATTCTTTCATAAAAGGTGATCTATTATATTAGCTCTAGAAGGAATTTTAAATATATTCCGGCCCTTTCATCTTACAAGTGATTAAGCGTCCCTAAAAGGAAAAAGATTTGCCAAGGTTGTAGAGCAGATTCTAACTCTGATTATATGGGCCAATTTTATTACACATATCACCTCTCCCATCTCCTCTCCTCTTCGTATTTCTAGCTTCCTGTTATTCCTTTGAAAAAAAAAGACTAAATATCTTTTGAAGGTTGCTTCAGATGCCAAAGACATCTAAAATATATCCCCCTCAAATGAGAAAGGGATCTTGTAATTGCTTGCTTGGATTATAACAGACCCACCAACCTACATCCCTTTGCATTTCTAATTTCCTTTTATACCTGCTTGCAACATACACAAGTCTACATTTAGTGCCACAGTGCTTAACTTTTGAATTTATAGATCCCTTTGAAAAATCTGATAAAAGATATGGACCCTCTCCCCCAAGAAATGCAACAATGCATAAACAAAACTTGGCAAGTAATTTCAAATGTCATGGACCTCAGGAAGCCAATGGATCCCAGTTAAGTAGCCTTGACCTGATGGAAAGAAAAGGACATAGTTTCAATTGGCCCAGTTTCCCGCCCCCCTCTCTACCTGGGTTGAGTGTCCTCTTCAACAGAGTGCGAAGCTTCAAAAAGGATGCACATGGAGCACTGAGGGAGAGAGGGGACACCTGCCCAGTCAGACAAATCAGCTAAAATTATCCTGACAAGCAATGGAGTGACAGATGTTGACTAGATTGTCCTCACCAACCCCTCTCTTTTCCCCAGAATATGCTGCCATTCTTTTTCCCAGGGTGCTGGTTTAGGCAGATATAAAGAGAAACATGTTACTCAACAAAGCTGGGATCAAACTCAGGCTGAGATGCAGGAACTCCCTTTCCCCAGTGTCAGTCTTAGTTCTATCCATTGGAGCAACAACTCAGGATATTAAGGTAAGGTTTAGCTCAAAGATCTGATTAGTTGGCTTGGACTCGTCAGGGAAAGATCAAGCTGGAAATCACCATACTCTTTCAAAGGCATTTTGTTTAATTCTATAAGGCATCCATGCCATAAAAGTCCAAAATATTTCTGCCAGAAAAAAACATGATTACTATCTAACTGGAATAGTGCACGAAATTAAGAGCTGATAATCCATAAACAATCTATAGAATAACAAACATGGGGTGAATACCATGAGGATAAACTGAAAAGATGAGGATCTCTTCAATCTGTAACAACAAAAGTTTAGATATTATATAAACAAAGTCTATAGAATTATAAAGGCCATGGACAGTGTGAACAAGATGAAAAAACTTGATTTCTAAGAATATTCACTGAATGTCCAGTGAATTTTCCACTATAGTCCCACAAAATAGCCAAGACTAATGAGGCTATGGACATTCATTTTTATTTCCACACAGATTATATATGACAAAATCCCTGCCAAGAAATAATGGGCAATTTGAGATTACTCACATAAAAATAAAAGTCAACAATGCTGAAAGGAATGCTGAAAGGTTGCATATGAGTGCTCAGGGCCATAGAAGAAAAAGCACTCAAACTTCTGAAAATGGTCAGGGAAGACTTCACTAAAAAGAGTTGAATCTTAAACGAAGTCAGGATTCGGACAAAGTGGAAAGCAGAAGAAATGCCAGGGGAGAACAATGGCATATTACCATTTTATATTTATAAAGCAGTTTTAGCCACAATGGCTTAATGATGGGTTTGTTGTGTATGTATTACTTAGGAAACAGTAGAGCAATTTAAACATAGTGGAAAATAGGCAAATAAATAAATAAGCTGGGAACAGATCATCCAAAACCTTGCATGCCAGGCTAAAGACTTTAAAAGTGTTTCTCAAGGGGTGGTCTGATTATCGGCAATATCAAAATATAAAATTATTCAACATGAACATCTCTGGCCTCTAGATTGGACTCAATCTAAATCTTATAACATGCATTTTTAAACATATCTCCAAGGTGATTCTATTCACACTGAAGTTTTAGAATCACTGGTTTAAGACTTGATATTCTAAGGGGCCGGCCAAGTGGCTCAGTTGGTTAAGAGCTCACTCAAGAGTGTGAGCTCTGAGTAACAGGGTCGCCAGTTCGATACCCGGATCGAGCTGAGCTGCCGCTGAGTTGCCAACAGGTGGCAGGATGGCTCAGCTTAAAACAAAACAAAACAAAACAAAAAGACTTGACATTCTATATTATAGGAAAATATTTACAGATTTTTACAATACATAGAGGCGGTGATTACAGCTACATCAGTCTTCCTAATATACTATGCAGAACTGACTGAGTTAAGCCTGTAGGAGAGGAATACCAAGTCACCGGTTACTGACAAAACAAATCAAAAAAAGAAGAACCTTTGCAATATACAAAAAAGGTAAAATAATTGATATACAATAAAATCTCTCATAAATCAGTAAGAATATGCTTTAATAACAAAAACAGGCTAATAATACAAAAATAATGTTTAAGTAGTCAAAAAGTATATGACAGTGGGAAAATTAACTAGAAATTTAGAAATTGAAATTAAAACAAAACTCTGTTCTTGGCAGTTCAAGACTGGTGAGGGGCAAAGGACATGTTATAGGAGTAAAACTTGGTACAAACTTTCTAGGAAAAGATGCTAATATGTAACAAGAATTTATACACTTGAACTTGAAAATGCTCATTCTTAGAATCTATTTTCAGAAAATGATCAGAGGCAAAGATTTGTATATAAAGACATTTTTAAGAATAGCTGGCAATAATTTTACATCCAAATGGGGGACTAGCATCCCATCAGTTACCTTCCTTATACTTTTCTGCATTTTTCAATTTTATGAAAAAACACTCTTTTAAAGTTTTTAATCTTCAAAAAGACTACTAGAATATTCCAGGTTATGGAGAGCAATTACCACCAAACATCTCTGGTGCGAATGTCAAAGAAGCTATTGGCCTAGTGGTTAACTGGACTTAGTATCATGTTCACGTAGTTAATCATAAACATAAATGAACTGTTTATCACTCAGATCACTTCCTTTCTATATAAACAATGTATAGTAAACTCATGAGGGATTAGTGCTATGATGCTACGCCTTACAGAGTATTTTGTATTTATTAAAGATACGGTACAGATGTTTTTCTATAGGAAATTAATTAGCTCAAGTCATTGAAATCCTGTCATAAACCCTCCCTATTAACAGTGTATGATGAAGAATGATTAGTCTGTGCTGACTATCAACAAGCTCACTGTTGTGCAGAACAAGTCTGTTTTAAGATGGAGAAGGAAAAATATTACATACTGTTTTTTAAAGTAACCCCAGCTGGCTAATTTAGAAAGCAATCTGGTAAACAGTCCCAATGGAACATCTGCACAAACAAGGAGAAAACACAGAACCAATAAAACAAATGAGAAAAGAAAATTAATGGAAGACAGAGTGAAAGAAACTCTACTCATCTAGTCTTTCTTCAATCACATTTGGGAATTTTAAAATGCCTTTAATTCTATAAGAATGTATCATCGGCAAATTTTATACTAGTAAGAATACAATAAAACAGGACATGTTATTGGAAACTTTTATTGAGGCCCTTCCTAAATTACTGGCTATTGCCTATGCAAATGAATGGTTTTTACAACAACCAAGCTTCTAAAAATCCCAAGCATGGCAACTGGCCTTATCTACAAAAATAACCAGTAGAACATAGTGCAAGGGACCTATCCCCAATGCACTTTAACATTCCCCAATAATACCTGCTGTTTTCCTTATCTGCCCCTTATTATCTCTCATTTGTGGAACACTAAAAGAGCACCCAAACATATGTATCTCCCTCCTACATACAAGTTTAAGGCACTGAGTGTTCTAGCATCACTATTAACTTTTTGTGTCTCATCTCCCCAACTACATTAACAGCTAGGACTTAGGTGTTCCCACCACGCCCAGCCAGACATAGATGTAGGGCAGGAGCTCTTCTATTCACAGCTGTAGCCTCAGCAACTATATAGTGTCTAGCCTTAACAGGCACTCAATAAATGACTTCTGAATATTTATAAAATATTCAGAATCATAAAATAATTTGACAGATGAAAACTATATAAGCTAACGATAAATCATTAAAACTACTAGTGTTAAAATGCTACTAGCTCATGAGTAATTTACCAATCAGATTCTTTAAACTGTTGATGTGGTTCACAATGTCTGTTCTCTTGCGTACTACTGTGGGATCTCCTCTTTCGTTTGTGACTTTCACTGTAGCTTTCATGTCCCCAGCTTTCTCTACCATCCCAATGAGAGCAGTGAGTTCTTCTGGAATGCCGCATCTGTTAACGGAAACAAAAAGTGAGTTGCAGAGGTTATACATGGTTTAGTAAATAAAATATTATACATCAATGTTATTTAAATATAAACACCCAGCACAAAGGGTCACAGAGATTCTAAAATTTTTCATAGATAATGTTCCCCAAGGTATGGGGCACTATTCCACTTGTATGTCAGATGATTTTAAGTGGCATATAGATCTAGAACTAAATGATGAATAACATTGTGAGACCTTAATATATTTTCTTTCAATTCTTCTGGATAAATTCTCAGTTTGGAGCTTCAACTAACACTTGCTAACCGACATTTTAAAAATAAAAAAAGAGGGCTGGCCATGTGGCATGTTGGTTAAGAGCTGGCTTGGGAGTACCAGCTCTGAGCAGCAGGACCCCGGTTTGGATCCCACACGTGGGCCAGTGACGCTGCCCTCTACAGCTAAGATGGTGAACAACAGCTCGACCTGGAGCTGGGCTGCTGTGAGTCGCTGGCAACAGCGTAGGCTGCAGTGGGTTGCCATGAGCTACTGTGAGTGGCTGGCAGCCAGCGTGAGCAGCCATCCAGTGGCCGACAACCTATCTGCCTCACCTGGGAAGAGCGCAATGATCACCATACCAACATGGACCAGTGAAGCGACATCCTCCACAACTAGACTGAACAACAAAAGGACAACTTGTCTGTTCCCCTCCTCCGATTCCCCAATGCTGTTCCCCTCCCCCAATTCCCCAATAAAATCTTTTTTAAAAAATCTGATTCTTTATTGCCTTTTATTACTCTGTAACACCTGACAACTTTATGCTCTATATACAGATTAAAAATATAGGGACCATAGGGACCATAGGGAAGAACACCATGTGATGGCAGAGTCAGAGATTGGAGTGATCCAACTACAAGTCAAAGAACTTAAAGGATTGCCAGCAATGACCAGAAGATACCAGAGAAGCATGGAACAGATTCTTCCCCAGAACCTTCAGAGGGAGCATGGCTCTGCTGACACCTTCATTTCAGACTTCTAGCCTCCTGAACTGTGAGATAATAAATTTCTGGGGTTTTGTTCGTTAAAACAAACAAAAAAATCTAAAAAGGTTAAAATTATGATTAAATGGCTCCAAGAGGACTGCATTTAACAGGTAACAAGCCTGTGGGTGTGCATGTATGAAGTACAATCATACAAGGACAATTATAAAGCAAGGCCAGGTGGCTGGCCAAGCCAGTTTGGACGTCTGTTTCCTAAGTATCGGATAAGCACATCGCAGCTACCTGAGTAATCAATAATAATACGATGCAAAAATGTCAGAAATACAGATCTGCTGCAAAAAATTGTATGCTACACCTTAGGAAAAGAACAGTGTCAAATAAAGAGCGAACCTTTCCATATTTCTACCTCTCTCACAAGCACTAGCTGAATTCCACTACATGGACCCACGGACTGGCAGTTCCTCGGACGCCCGGTCCCCATCCCCGCCTTCCCGCGTCAGGGCACCTAGCCAGGGCCTTTGGCGCACTCAGGAACAAATGTTGGACTCTGGAAAACCCCAAAATGCTATAAATGACCGGGGCCAGGAATCCAGGGAAGGACTCCGACAACACAAACCCGAGGGGCGGCTCTCGAAGGGTCTCCCGACAAGTCTTCGCTCTCGCCGACGCGCGAGACCTGGCCTCTGGAGGCGCGATGCGAGCAGCCAGGGCCCTCAGAGAAGAGTCAGTGGCAGAACCGCCGTCTTTTTGCCCCAGGATTTTAAATCTACCATAACACCTGCGCATCTTTAGGTTTTAAAGACCACCAGCAGAACTGTGCCCCGAAGGTACCCAAGTCGCCGAGGCCCCGAACCCTGTCTTCTCTCCGACACTGGCTTCGAGACCTAAAAGACTGGAAAGCCGCCCAGCCCAGCATATCCCACCCGAAACCTTACTTCTGCAAAAGCAAAAGGCCCTTTGGCCGAGATATGTCGCCAAACCGCTGTCTCCACTCTCCAGCCGCTGCGACAAACACCCAACAAAATGGCGACAGCACCTTCTCCCTACAACCCCGAGGCGGTTTTTAGCTCCACCTACAACGCGCTAACGCGCTTGCGTCACAGAGCCGCGCGCCCTCCCGCCCCTCCCCGAAAGGGGCGGGTTCCTTGTGACGTCACGGACAGCCTGGCCCAACCCAGCGCTGGACGAGGGAACGCCTAGGTTGCTTTCGTGAGACCTTGAGTGAAACTGGAAAGAAATGCTTGTGCCCTACGCTAAGCCTGTGGCTTGTGTCGCTCCTTCTGATGGGGTTATTCTGAGTGCAGCACCCCTCGACAGAACTAGCCGTGGTCCCGTTTCCTGTTCTCCCGCTTAAGTGTGTTGCATCATCGCACTTTGGCTGTGGGTCCTCAGCCTACCCATGTACCTCAACCCCAGAGGGAGCCAACACACAAGACAAGCCCAAAAACCCGTCCTGTGCCAGATCGGGACTGGTGCAGGGGTGGGGGCAGTCCAGCCCGTTTGGCGCTTTCCGTCTAAAAATGGATTCGGATAAATAGAGGATTCTCAAAAAACAAGCTTTAGGGGTACTTGTTAATGCCTGTTCTCTTAATCAGAAGAACAGCCAAAAAAGTTTCAATTGAGACTCCTTAAAAGGTTCTTCTGGTTATGGTCCCTGCCTCCTGGGCAGATACGGACGCTAGAAGTTTCCCTAACAAAATTCTCTCCATTATTTGTCCCTGTGTGTTGATTTTAATCAAGGCAGAGTAATGTCTGAGAGCTAGTGAGCATCCATTATGGGGTTTGCTTACCCCAAATGCATTTTGCAGTTCTAAGAATCCCCATACACTTCCTATTGTGAGCGTGTAGAATGAGAAGAGAGAAGAGGGCCAAAGTAGGAGCCTTGGGACAGAGGAAAAGAGCCTGAGAAGGAATTATCGGAAGGGGAGTAAAACCAAGAGTATGGTGTCAGAGAAATCAAGGGAGAAAAGAGCTTAAATGAGAGAAAGGCTCATTCCTCCGGCCGTGCCTAACAGTACCAAATACTGGGAAGAGAGTAGTACATACAGTTAGTAACTGAAAAGTGTTACAGTGGATTCTGACAAGGATTCCTTAGGATAAAAGGAAAAGCCAGAAATCAACTTTGGGAGGGCAGGGTTGGACTGTTGTGGGCATAAACCCAATCTCATGTGGAAGACCTGATCTCATACCTTGTTAGGTGAAAGGAGGGCACTGTATTTTAGTGACCTAACACCATAGAGACTTGTGCCACCAACTTTGGATAAATTGAACTCATCGTGGAGATTGTACCCCACTTCAACAAATGAAGTTAAAAAACATAAATTGAATTCTCATGATGCCACATTTCAAGAAGTGAAGTTGCAAAAAAGAATTGGAAAATTGAAAGTGAGAATTCTTTCTGCTACAGAATGAATTGACAATATTCTCTTCACTGGAATAGTGTCATTTCTGCATCTATCAATATAAATCTTACCTATCCTTCAAGGTCCATCTCTAAAGGCTGTCCCTGACTAAATCAGTTTCCACCCATCTCCCAGCTCTTGACTATTCCAGTTAGAGATCAGGTCCTCAAACAGTTGGCTAGGGCACACGTGTTCCTGGAGCCACCCAGGTATGCCAAGCAATTTTGCCCAAAGAGTGACATTTATTGGTTCTACAACTGATTACACATACTGTTTCAGAGACATCTATTCAATGGAATGTTGAGCTGAGTGAACTGGGCCATCTTGCAAGGTAAAGTGGGTCTCAGCTGGCTGTATTTAGAGACATAAATTCAAGCTGGCACCAAAGAAGTTCCCCTTTTTGCTGCAGTATGAGAGATCTTTTTCTTGCGAGGACAGAAGAGAATGTGGTCAGTGCACAATTCTGCTCCAACAGCAACACAAAGTTAAAAGGCAGCCAAGAGGAAAGGCCTCCTACACAGACATTTATAGACATCATTGAAACAGTGATAAAACCCAATAGTGGTGTCTGCTTTGTGGTACTGCAATCTTGTTTTCGTGTCATTTTGAGTTTTCTAATTTAAGTGTGCCACCAAAATGACATTTAAAAGTGTGTAGTGATCAGAAGGTGGTTGAAAATATCCTATGACTAGCATCTCTATAACATGTAATACAGCACTGTGGTGCTCCTAATTGCGCTCTGTGGCTTGTGTTTTGACTGGAGACAAGGACCTTATTTATATTCTTTGGTATCTCAGTGCCACAACCCAGTTTCTATTTGTAGGTTGTTTACATAAGGTGCTTTTGGCCATGTTGCTCAAAGTTCCAAAGTGATTAAATCAAAGGTAGGAATTCACTCCCAGAATCCTTGTGCCAGTTAACAACTTTACATGTGGCAGCCTCATTTCTACTAAGTCAGTTACCTGGAAAATAAATACCTTTGGTCAGAAGACTAAATGAAAATGTCCCAATTTCTGAGAATCCATGCCAACACCAGAAAAACTGCCTGATCCAGTAGCTTCATCTCTCCACAAGTACAAATGTGCCCAACAAAACCTTGCTTTTTCAAAATAGGGGTTTTAAACCATGTTTTTAAAAAAATCTTAGCTTTGAAGACCAACCAGAAGAATATTCTATTGTATATTCTAGCACAGATATTCTACATGCTTAATTTCACACATAAAAAACAGTAATCTATGAAAGCAGAGTTCCACAGTAAAAGTCTAAACTGTGTATATTGTTTAACAAAAGCATATCGTATATACAGAGAAACCTTTACAAAGGTGTAAACAAACCTTTACAAGTTATAACCTCTTTTATAAGTTACGTATTACTGATACCTACCTGCATTCAGTTAGATTTTTTAAACTATCAAATTATGTACTATTTTATATACATTATATCATTTAAAAATCTAAACAACCCAGTGAAGCGATAATTGGTTACTCAAGTGCCAGAACCAAGATTCAATCTCAGGTCTTGCTTGCTTCAAAGAATTTAATCTATTCTACTGGCTGCTTCAATACATACAACAAAGTATATAGCAACTTACTTTACTTAGTTATTAGGGGGAAACATGCTGAGTCCATCTTTCAGCAAGACCAAAGGGGTTGGTCTTAAAAAAAAAAATTCCAGGATGATGTACCATCAAAGGCTCCCTATGATGAAAAAATGGGTCAGCACATTAAGGTCATCAAAGGTTCCAGTGTACCATACTCATTATTCAAGTCACAAAGGGTCTCCCACACATCCCACACTGCCTAAAATGGATAATGTCCCAGGCTTCTCTGGTGTTTCCTGACACTGTTTGTGAGGAGATTCACACAGCACACTATTAAGCAGGATTCAGTTCCATCAAACAATGCTAGAAGAATCCCTGATACATAATACACTCTGTAGTATGTAAGGTGGGGAGTGGAGAGTTGCAGGGAGTGACTTAATTCAGAGGTTCTTTAGGGAATAGGAAACTTTGGTCATTCCAATCTCCTTGTCAATTTCCACCACCTCCAATGAAAGGGTTTTGAAGCCAGGTTAGTAAATTAGAGCCTCTCAGCCTTATTGCCAATAATCTCAGTGATCAACCATTCAATGCAACCATTGAGGGGAAAATATATTTACCTAAATCCTAAATTTCTTATGAACTTTGTATAACCCTACATAAATGTATGAAAATATGTGACATATATGTGTCTCCAAATCTTTGGGATTACCCTTTCTTTTAATGTATATCAAGTTCCTATTTCATGCAATTATAGGAAGTACAGTATCTTTTAAGAGTATTCTAAGGATTTCTAGAGAGGGTAAATTTTTTTATCACTTAAGTTCTAGAAACATATTTCACAGACATCAAAGTCAATTATTAACATGGACTTATTTTTGTAAAACCCAGGTAAAATAAAGACATGTCTGTTTTACTTAAACCAATAAACATAAGCTAGCTTTTATTTACTATGGATTAATCTTAGATCACATGAACTTGAAAAGCATGAATTAGTTTCTAAATTTCTAAAAATTTTAGAATACTCAATCCTTATAAGTGCTTGCATCTAAATGAATTTTAACAATACCATCTGGAGGTAGGCAATTATGTCATATATACAACATATGTGTACATATATAGACCCATAAAGACAGGCACAAACAGAAAAATTTTAGCCATGAGAAAAATTTACTAGTTTATAAAAGACTAGTTGGATCCAACTATTATTTTGGGGGTATTTACAATTTATATATGTCCTTGACAAGTCAAGTTCCAAATGACCTTCCCTCTTTTATTTTTTTATTTTTATTTTTTTTTAAAGATTTTTTTTTATTGGGGAATTGGGGGGATGGGAACAATGCTGGGGAATTGGGGGAAGGGGAACAGACAAGTTGCTATCATTTTGTTCTTCAGTCTAGTTGTGGAGGACGTTGCTTCACTGGCCCAAGTTGGCACCATCATTGCGCTCTTCTCTGGCGAGG